TTTCTTGCTCAGTTAGGGGTTTAAAACGTATCACGTCAATTTGCATGTCTTCTACTTCCGAATGTACGTTTGGCAAAGATGTTGATGTTGCCATTGAGTAATAACGTTGAGATTCCCGTGAATGATTCTCGGATCGAAATTCGAAAAGTCGATTATCACATTTTACCACAAAATCGATTGCTTGACTCAAAGTTTGAGGATCAGGTAAGTTGAGCATCAATTTCTTTACTTCGTATTGCAATCTATAAAGAAATTGACTGATGAGTGCAGCATCATCCCACTTGATGTCAATTGCAAGTTGTCGAAATTGTGAAGCATACACTGTTACTGAGCGATTTCCTTGTCGCAGAATTCGGATCTTATTTGTTGCAACACGAGTTGCATCGTGTTCACCATACATAGATCGAAACTCCGCCAAAAAAGCTTCCAAATTGTCCAATATTGGATTTTATTGTTCAAGAAAAGACGAAAACCACGATAATGCAGAATCAGAAAGTAGAGTGCCAATAAATCTGACTTGTGATCCTGGAGTTGGATAGCTTTGGGGTTGAAGTTCAATTGCCAATTGTACTTGATTGATGAACCCTCGAAACTTAGATCTCGTACCATCAAATTTCTCGGGTAAGGCAATTCTTGGTTCTCTAATGCTTACAGGGTGTTGTACAATTGGAGAAGGAACGTGATTTGTTGTAGATGTTGAAGCAGCTCCGATCATCTCTATATCCCCACTTTCTGCTATTCTTGTTCTTTCATGTGTTGGTGAATTGAGTTGATGCATCGCAAGCATTAACTCCCTCATTTGCTCTTGCATTTGTACCATTGCACTCTTCATTTCAACAAGCTCTGCCATAATGACACTAAGAAGAAAAATTTGTTTGATACTGCTCAAGACAAAAGAAAAGAAAGACTTAATAACAAAGAAGATACTAAGAACAATATCAGTTTAGAAGTGGGTAATCTGCAAACTTCTAATATGCTTATGTCTTGTCAAGAGAAAGGGGTAATCTACTCTCACTCAAGAAAAACAAAGCTCTGATATTGTAAGTGTACTCTTGTCAATCTGTCAAGGACAAAGACTCGATGAGGGAAAATATACACAAAAAGGCTATCTCGATATAATAAGTCAAAATATAAACAAGTAGGTATATTAAAAGGAAACTAGAATGGCTATTGCCACAAGACAAGAAACTAAAGACTCTTGAACTTGGACTAGAAGCAAGAAAAGAGTTGACAAGAGTGAAGAAGCCTTCACTCTTGTCTCTATATATACTATCTAACTAGGGGCTACGTGGCAACGTTCTATAGGACCTCCAATATGTGTTGACTTTGTAGGACACATGCCTTGACTTACAAGGCAAGTTTTTCTACGTGTGGGCCACATAGTTAGCTTGATCTTCAAGCTAACAACATGTGTGGCACATGGCCAACTTGTTGACCACGTTTCTAATCCAAAAAGTCAATTAAAGACACCTATGAAGTCAAAGCAGCGTCTACGAAGTTTCTAAGAAGCTTTTATATTAAATATTATAGAATTAACTTACTTTTATCTACTTTTACTTACTTCTACCTATTTCTATATGTAATTATTAGCTTACATGATTATGGCCGTTACAATGCCTCCTAACTTTAATGACTAAGATTTATTTTTATTTTTATGTTTTATTTTTTGTTTTGTTGTTCTTGTTTTTATTATATATATTGGTCAAAGTTTTCAAAAATTGACTAGTTTTATTTATAATTGTCATCAATTTAAACCATTACTTTATGGGTTTTTTTATTATTAGTGTGGAATTATCAGAAACTCATAATGGGTTGGGAGTTAGGAATTGGCAACTTAAGAAATTTATAACGAAACTTAGTTTATAAGATAAGAAAATTTTGTTTTTCAAATTATTATAAACGAAATTGGAACATAAAAATATTCCAATATTTTGTTATAGTATTCTTAATAATAAACAACATAAAATAATATAAAATGTAAAAAAAATAACTATTAGTTTTGTCAAATATATTGATTATAACACAATGCATTTTTATTGATTTGTAATAATGTTGTTTTACAATATTGCATTAATATCTTTGTTTGCTAAAAACTTCATTTATTGTAGTAGTTACTTTGTTGGTATTTCTACTCTTTGTAAATATTAGGCTATTATTGGTTGATTTTTAACCAAATTATTATAATTTGTTGCTCAAGATATTACACGTCTATTACAATTCAAACTATTACAAAGATTTCGAGAATACCACATTCATTCAAATCAATTATTAAAAATTAATAACAATAAAAAATGATACACAAAAAATAATATAAAATTAGAAGAAGTAAAAGCATCATTTTTTATTTTACTTTATTTTGAATTACAAAATATTTCAAAAATTATTTGTGGATATAATTTTAATAAATTTTAGAATTTATAAAAAATAATAATGAAAGAATTATTTCCTAAAAAAATTTAATAAACCATTTAGATTTTAAAAAGCATATTCTTCAAAAAACTTCATAAATCAAAGCATTCTTTTAGAAAATAAAACAAATGAACTTTTTTGCTACTAAAATCTTTGAAGAGACTCTTGATGCCTTAAAATAATATTTAAAATATTATTTATTTTAATATGACCTAATTATTTTTTTTAATAATCAATATTACATCATAAAATATTGCATAAATTAATCAAAAAATTCAAATAATATATGCGTTAAAAATATTGGGTATATATATATATATATATATATATATATATATATACATATACATACATATAATATTGCATTGAAAAAAATATTTATCATTAGTATCATCAAAAGTATATAATCAAAATAAATTTAAAAACACTTAAATTGCTAATGTATTTTTGTAAGGTTTAATAGATCGATTATTTTTTCAATATGGGGCATTGTGACCAAAACAAATCAAAGTACAAGGTTATTATGTATTCAAAATGAGAGGTGTATAAAGTTATACATTACAAAAAGATGTAGAATTTTTAATTTTAACAATAACTATATTACTTTGACATGAATTTTATATATTTAGATATACCAATAGAGCTACATGAATATATGATAGTTACTAATTAAGCACTATAAAATGTATTTAATGGTTTAAATATATGAAATATATGATCATGATTATTGTAAGAAATGTATATTAACAAAAAAAATAATATGATTTTTTTATATAGTTAAATCTATTTTAGATAATAAACATTTTAATTGTTATGTAAAATTTTAAAAATTAACATTAAAAATAGTGTAATTGGAGTATTATCAACTATTCATGTTATTTGCATCATGTAAAGATTCTAGAAACACAGAGTAATTTATGTGTTGTTCATTCTTGCTAATACATGTGTAATAAAATCATACAAATACTATGATTATAGTGTCTTAAATACTAGATAAATGTATTTTGGATTTAAAACTTTTGATCAATATTCCTTGGTTTCTTTTCTTTTTCTTTTTTTCCATGGAAAAAAGATAATTGTAATGTATAATTCTATTCTACATATATAGCACAATATTCAATAAGTTATAAAATAAAAACTATAACTAAAACTATGAAGTACAACTACCAATAAAAAAAACTTAAATACATATTTTTATTGAGGGGAATTTATCAATTTTATATGTTATTTAGAAAAAAACAATTAATATTAGATATAACAAGATTTACCACATGCTTCACATATTTCATATAACAGCAAGAATCTCAAGTTAATATATCTTGGTTTTAAAAACACAAACACTAAGCTTTAAAATCTAATATTGAAATGTATTATTCATGTAATATTATGTTGAGTTTTGTTACAGTTTGTTTGAGCTTTGTTAGAATTGTAATTGATGCTCCATCATTGTTATCCTTGCAATTATTACTAAGAGCAACTCTTGTATCACATTATTGCATATGTTCCAATGCAATATTTAAGTAAATATAATAATATTATTCATCTACAATAGAATTCTATGTGAAAAAATATAATAATTGAAAAATAAACTAAATTACTTATTTTACAAAAATTTGTACATGACTCCAACTCAATAATAGTTATTTTTGTGCTTATTTAATGTAAAGTTTAATATGCAAGATTGTTGACAATCTATCCTTTATTACATATCCCTCTCTTTCTACTCTCTAATATCAATATTAATCTTAATATAAATTTTGAAAATTTATTTTTATTTTAAAAATTTATGAGAATTATTTTCACATTGTACTATATATATGTATATATGTATATATATACATACATTGTAGTGTATTAGACACAATATATAATTCAACTTTAAACTCATGTATCTTGGTATAACTTTGTGTAATCTTGTTTAGACCCAAAAGAAAATTCTCATATTAAAAATTATAGATAGGAAGTGAGTGTTTTGTCAAAACAATCTCTAAACTTATATCTTGGAGATGGATGGCACCTAACACATTATTAGCATCCACAAAGGTGACATTTAACATTCCACAAGATTTTTTGCCCTTGCTAATTGTCTCCCTAGTTTAGAGGGCAAACTCACTTTCTAGATTGAGTTAGGAGATTATAATTAGTGTGGGTCAGTGAGAGCTTTGTCATGCACGAAGTTACACATTAGAACCCAAATGTTAATTAATAGAAACTATTCTCTCTCTTTGTTCATTATCCTCACTAAAGACTCACCATTCTCATCACCAGTGTAAACTTACTCACCCACTCATTTTTTTATTTTTTATTTTATTTTTGATCTAATTCATTTTATTTTTCTTTCTTTTTGACACTGTAAGGAACAAATTTCATTCAGACGAGGTTGGAATTTTACAGTCGAGATTTGATCCCACCCACTTTTGTAGAGTCATGATAGTTATTTTGACTTAATTCTTCTTGACTTCGATAAATATCTATGAAAATTCATCCTGGATACAACAAATTAGTCTCACTCACTGACTGACTGTGATTGACTGACTGACTGCCGAATCCACTCGGACAGGCCTTTTAGGGTTTTGCCAAATAGAACTTGGCTGCTCCTTACTTTCTCTCGTTTGTTTTCTGTGTGATGGGTCCTCACTTGCACCCGCATTTCAGCACCGCAGATCGTCTCGGGTAGTGAGTACCCACATTTGCAGTTTCCTTGTTCCTGTTTAGGTTTTGTTTCCTCTGCATCGATGTGCGCGATCGTCTCATTCAGCGCTCCATAATCCTCTTTTCCCGAGGGTTGCAGCATCTTCCGGTCAATTCTTCGGAGAAGCAAGGTTTGAGTTTTCTGCTGGGTTTAGGGGGTGTTTTTATTTATTTAATTATTTTTCAGCTTGCGATCGGAGATTTTTTGTTCTTTCAGTGGTTGCAATTTGTATGGGTGTTGCTGCTTTGCACTTCTCTCGCGATTCTCAAAATCAGGCTCCATGGCCAAGGGTTTAGGGTTTAAGGGTATTGTATTTGGAGGATAATCTAAGCAAGGGTTGCGCTGAGAATTTAGTAACTCTTTGCATTCTTAAAAAATAAAATAAATAACCGCGTGCAATTTTATCTCATTCTGTAGATTTGGGAAATCGAGACGGGGGGTTTTGATATGAACTCTAACCATGGTTTAGTATTAGAGTAGTATTTCTTTTTCGAAATGACATTTTTGAAGTTTTCAAGTTTGCTTTGCAAGTGCTTTCGGATTCGTAAAATTTTAGACGTGCTGATTCTAGCGCCCATTTTGTTTTTCTATTATTTTCATTCCTCATTTTTCCCTGTGGGAAGGGTAGTTGCATGATGGGAGGTTTTAGGGAGTAGCCCAAAACGATGCCTATTCTTCATAAAATAATTCACGGACATCAGATTCATGGTTATAAAAGTTACTGTAATTAACATCAATAAATGAATTCTTCTTCATTCAGTACATGATTCTTTACGCAGCTGAACACAGGAGTGAAGCTTGGGGTTGGACTTCTATTGGTTAGTGATGAGATTACGTAGACGCGTCTAACCATGCAATTAGTATTGCGTGTTCGTTGAATGGAGATGCAGGTTAATGCTAGGTCTAATAAAGCTTCTGGTGCGTGAGAAAGGGAGGAAAATGTGAGTGGAATATATTGTGAGGCGGTAACTGTTCACTGTTGTCTCAATGGTTACCGTTTACAGTTCTCCACAATTTTCAACAGATCACTTCCCCCTCGTATTTTTTTGGAACGCTTGTTTGGGGCCCTAGTTATTACCAGTTACTTTAGCATGTTTCTCTATTACTTCGCTTGGTTGTGCGTGGGTGAAGCCCTACGCAGTCCCTCCTGTAAGCACTGAGACTGCGCTTTATGCCTATCTCTTCACTAATATCATTCGTACTTTGAATTGCAGAACAGGTTGAAGTGGGTCAATGTCGAAAGTTTGGAGAGCAGCACGTGCTGCTTACTTGCAGCGGTCAGTTTGTTTATTTTTACCTCTTCCTCTTGTTCTTTACACGTTCGTATGTGGTTAGCTTCAAGGCCATCTCTACTAATTAATTTTGTGTAAGAATGTCTTAAAGCGTTATTTGGCGTGATAATTCTACTGCTAGGATGTGATGAGTCCGGTTAGCGTTCATCTGTACACGTCTTAGCTGTTTTGATGAAATTTCCCTGTCTTTGTGGTTTCTTTGGTTCCCTCAAATCTTTAATTCTCAGTTAACAACATATTTTCAGGGGATTTCATGACATTATTGGTAATGTTTTGTAGAGCCGGGCGAAGTTCGGGGCGAAAATTTATCAATGGAGAATATCCACATAGAGTGTCGAAGTACTCACCGTCGACGTTTGGGATGCTCGAAAGTGCTGTACCCGGTCAGATTAGAGTTGGATACAGTTCGTGGTTTCCAGAGCAAACTGGCTTTCGATCACTCTCCACCCAAGTTCAATCAGATGCGGGAGTAGAGGAAGGAAAACCAGAAGAAGTTCCCGACGTTGAGAATGAAGCGGATGACAACACGGATGGGTTTAGTATTGGAAAGGCTGTAGAAGGTGCTTTAGAGGACTCTGCATCTGGAAGTGAAGCATGGGATGAGGAAAGAATCAAGAGCCAGCGAGCGTTGTGGAAAAAAATTGAAAGTGTGAAACAGGGACCACAAAAGTCGGTTGTGCCCCTTATTAAGGAGTGGTTGAACGAGGGATATGTTCTTGATAAGCACGTACTGGTTACTATTTTGATTCGTCTGAGACGCCGGCAGCGTTACAAACAAGCTATGGAGGTGAGCTTCCTGTCCGATATCATGAGCAATTCATCTATATGATATGCTTTAAGATAAACAGATTGTCATCACTACGTCTCAAAACCTTTTTTGAGGCATATTTAAATTTCCGCGCAATCAAAATATTATTGGCGTTTTTTTCACCTAAGCTATATCCTCATTAAATTGTTGGGCATGTTCAGCTTGTCTCATAGTTGCATCACTTCCTGCAGATATCCGATTGGATGGCACTAGAAAAGGGTACCAAGTGGGAGTTGGCAGATAACATCGTTCGAATTGATCTTAAGTCGAAAATGAAACAATTCACGGTTGCTGAGCAGTTGCTGGAAAATTCCCCTCCCGAGTTCAAGACGGAGCTTGCTTACCACACCCTTTTGAAGAATTATGTGGATCATCAAATGGCACAGAAAGCCGGGGCTTTGTTGGAGAAGCTAAAGAGCACAGGTCTCCTCACCCTGCCGTTTTCTTTTAACCAGATGATGTTGCTGTACAAACGGAAAGGGATGGAGAACAAACTACCTGAAATTTTGGAAGATATGAAAGCACATGGGGTCCCAAAGGATGTGTATACCTACAACATTTTGATGGATGTAAAATCTAGGAGTGGTGACATTGAGGGGATGGAGAAAATATTCGAGGAATTAAAGGCTGATGAGAATGTGAAGGCAGATGCAGCGACGTTTGGCACCCTAGCGACTGCCTGTGTTCACGCCGGACTACTAGAGAAGGCCAAGGTTTATCTGAAGGAGATGGAAGAAGGGGACATCTTCAGAAATCGCTCTGCATATGATATCCTTATTTCGCAGTATGGTGCTGTTGGTGATGTGGACGGGGTTGAACGGGTTTGGGAGAAAGTCAAGAGTGGCCCTATCGTTTCAAACAGGAGTTACATAACAGTCATTGAAGCATTTGGGAAGCTGGGTATGGTTGAGAAGGCAGAGGAGCTATATGAAGTTATGAGCCAATCGAAGGGATTAATTTTAAGCCGTCAGTTCAACTCACTACTGAGTGCATATACTAGGCAGGGTTTGATGGATAAAGCGGAGAAGCTAATGGATGATATGGAGAAATTGGGCCGAAAGAAAAACGCTATCACATATCACCACCTAGTGACTGGGTACCTGAAGACGGATCAACTCGACAAAGCAGTGGCAGCCATGAAAGAGGCTCTTGTAGACCCTAAGCAGGGTCGGAGCAAGCCCTGGTTTGAGACTTTAGTTGCTGTTTTAGATGCATTTGCAGAGAGGGGTAACGTGGTCAATGCTGAACAACAATTCCAAGAGATTAAGAAAGCATACCCAAGGCTTAACATTCAGGTTTATAATATACTTCTGAAGGCCTACATAAACAGCCGTGTGCCAGCTCTTGGATTTTTGCATCGGATGTCCACCGACAAACTCGTTCCTAATGATGAAACGCTTAGTTTGTTACGGCAACAAACAGGACAACGAGAGGAAGTCCCTGAGGCCTCAGCTCAACCTGAAGTCGTTGCGTAACTGTACTTTGGTTATTTCGTATCCTGCCTGAGCCCTTTTGTGCCTTGAAAGGCTAGGTACGTCCCAATTTTATCAGGATTGCATGGCTAAGCCTAGTTCCTGAGACCTGAATATCTTTCAGCTGAATGGGAGGTATGTCTTTTCATGAACGTTATATGCAGTCCTTGAATGAGAACTGACTCTTGTGTATGAGAGCTTACCATTCGGGTATGCAGAGAGGATCAATTTGGAATTTGCATTAGGCTTCAGTAGCATAGGCTTGTCCAGTAGGCAAGCACAGTTGATCATTTACTTCATAGCAACAACCCTTGGGAACTATTCCCTTAAGTTTTGTTGGATATCCCAACACCCCGATTCCTAGTGTTTAGTATGAGGTTGATTTCCCGACCAGGTTTTGTTTAGCCAGTATTGGTATAGAGATGTTTCGGGAGGGGGCGAGATATATGCGTTCTAAGTATAAATTCTTCCATGTCCATATTTCTCGGAACTTAATATCCAATACAGACCCTGAATCTTCTTTTTCTAAAAATGGAAAATTAGGAGTTTGAATTGTCCTGGAAACCTGATAATTTCTAAGTTCTTATTGGTTTTGGTTTTAAGCTGTTAAACAAAATCCGTAGGATGTGTTTACTCCATTTCATTACTTTTGGTTTCATAAATCGGTTGGGCGCTGCTATGTGCGAGTGCGGATGACGTTACTTCATGTTAAAGAAGATTCAATTGGGATTCATTAAGCTTCATGGGTCAGTGGAATAGCCCAGTGTCACGTATTTTCAGTAAACCGAATGTGATAAAGATGTTACATTTCTTAAACATTTTCAATATTTACTTTGAAAGACACTCTGATACACAAAGATCAGAAGATACATGGGTGGTCAAATTTGCATTGAAGCTAGAGCAGATATTACGTTCGCGTAAAACCTTACAGCACAATTGCTGACCAACATCAAAGTGGCTGAAATTGCCTCACATGCATGTCCCACTGGACAAGTTCTTCATAACAATTCCCTTAAATTGGAGCGTGGCACGAAACCATATAAAAAATTTGGAACAACCAGGCTAGCACACCTGGCTAGTGAACTTCATATGCTCATTAACGTCCAAATTTAAAATTAAAAAAATGCAACTTAATGCTAGTGGTTTAATTGCAACATGCAGCATTTCGTATTCTCTGTTGATGGGCTACTACCAACAGTTGGTAGTACACTAATTATTCTTATTACCATGAGAAACGGCATCTACATCCATCCTAAATCCACAAAACCTTGCTTCTTCAACGTCCATTCATGCTTTGCAGCACAGTCGCAAGCAACACGTACGATATCCACTATCAACATTCAAGCGGTGATCTTCTCGACCTACAACAGACTGCACGATTATAAACTAGCAGCATACGTCCGGACCTCGACATCAACTTTTGGTTGCTTCTCTCTCGGAAGGTTCACTCCGACCAGCTCATATATCTCAATGCCAGGACGGCACTTGAACCCTACACTGGAGTCGAAGCTCCAACAGCAGAGACGCACATGATAGGACACACATGCTCCCATGAACAATTGTTGAAAAGAAAACCTTCCGAACTGCTGCCGTAACATAAATACCAAGAAACTAGATAGTCAGGTGGAAAACCTGGTACGCCGCTATCGAACTGCAAAAAAACTCGGGTACTTCTAACCAATAATCCGAATGAACCTAACCCTCCAATGCAGCAGCACCAGAAATAATTTCGATAAGTTCCGTCGTAATGGAGGCTTGTCGCGACCTGTTGTAACTGAGAGTCAAACGATCGAGCACCTCACCAGCGTTACGGGTAGAGCTGTCCATGGCGGACATACGTGCTCCCATCTCACTGGTCGCATTCTCAAGCATGGCATTGTAAAGCACAGATGCCAACTGGAATTCAGCAAGATTCTGAAGAACTTCTCCCTGGGTTTCGGCTCCCTCTGTCTCGTAAGACTCTAGATTACCGATTTTCTGAGCTTCTTCCCCGGCTAACATCTCCGGAGAGAGCAATGTCGCTACAGTAGGCAGAAAAGAAACAGCGGAATTGAACTTGTTGTAGACCACCTTGATGACATCATACTCGCAGGATTTAATGATCTCGTCGGCGATCATGGCGCACTGCGTGAAATTGATCGCCACCTTCTGCGTCTCGGTAATGTACGTACTAATGAGCTTCTTGTACTCCCGCTGCAACTGTGCCTTCCCCTTGTCCCCCACAATCACGAACTTCGTATCATAACCCTCGCCATGCAACTGATTCAACTTCATCAGCGAACGCGAGTACTTCACCACTGTAGAGTTGATACCCCCGCACAAGCCCTTATCAGTAGACAAGGTGACCACGAGCGTTTTGTTCCCCATCACAGCAGGCGCGTCTCCTAGCAAAGCTGTGAATGGCTGAAACAAACCCCGCGAATTCTCCGCCTTCACCTGCACTGTCCTCAGCTTCGACGCGGCAACCATCTTCATAGCCATGGTAATCTTTTGGATGTTCTTCACGGAGCGCATCCGGTTGCGCACAGCCTGGTTGGAGGCGGCCCTCGCTCCGAAGGGCGCCACCTCGTTAGTCGCCCCCAGACCTTGCATTCCCACGGAACCACCCCCATTCTGCACCCCCAACGACGAAGACAGCGTCAATCTCTCCGAAAACTGCTTCGCGATACGCCATCCGCCCCGGCGCGCAGCCCCTGTGGCCATCTCTGCGATCCAGTGCGAGCTTGGAGCTGCAATTCCCAGAGCAAGCTTTAGGGTTTACAACGGCTCAGACACACCACGCCCTTCACACCAGCCTCCTCGCAAAAGGAATGTGGACATGTCACCGGATCGGCCCGTCGCGGTAGACTTCTCACCGGCACCATCCAGTTCGCACCGTTCAGATGATTGCCTCCAGCCGGTGACTGGACTGTTTGCACGAGTATGGATTATTCATTCGTTCACTTTTAACTAATAAAATCACGTTGAATCCTTAATCCGGGGGTTAAAATCTACATATTGTAGAAAACTATTGTGAATCTTATTTACATGGAGAATCAATTTCAACCTCTTTTGATAAAATTATAGTTGTTAAAGTAAATAAGTATTACTATAGGTATGATAAAGTAAGTAAGTATTACTTTAGGTAATCTTAATGATAATGGTCAAAAGGTAGCAAAAAGGTGAAGGGAAGTAACTAAGGTGGCGGATAGGGTTTTATTGGATGAAGTAAAGATGGATGAAGATGAAGTTTAGTCATAATAGATGTAAACTCCACTTATAAGTAAAGGATGTTGGAAGTGAGAGGTATCTCATTCTATACTTCTCTTGTGTGCAATCTTATTGATTTCTACTTACTTGTATCTTGCTTGTTATATGTCTTCAATATGTTATGGGCCCACACATACTTTGTTGTGCCATTCAAGTAAATTATTGTCATTCTCTTGTAGTTGTAGTTGTGTGGAAAAGATCTTATGGTGTTTGTTGATGTTATGATTTCTAAAATTTAAACTTGTATTTTGGGCATGAAGATGTGTTGACTTTGATCTTATAGATCTTTAACATTGCTTTGTAAGTTCTTATCTCCTAAGATTGAGAGTTTAAGACGTTACAGAAAGATCTTGATAGTGTCCTTTGTTTTGCTGATGTTCTTTCACCTATTTTGTGTATATAGTGAAATAATTGATTCCAAAGAGTGAGAGTTCATGATAATGAGGTTTATTGGAGTACACATACTTGTTAGAAGCTTCACAGCTTAAGCTGAGAGTATTTTGAGTGAGAAAGTACTCATTTATTCACAAGAAGGCATTATCAGATTCTACAAGTGTAAAATTATTTTGGTGATTTCAAGCTCATAGTGATTCTTTTTTTTTGATATTTTTGAATAGAACCTTTTTTAGATATGGCTTCTAGTGACGGTGAAGGTTTAAGAGTGGTTGAAAAGTTTAGAGCAGAGAATTTCTACAATTTGAAGGTCAAAATAAAACTTTTGTTGGCATCTTTGGACCTTTAAGGCATTGTAGATGAAAGTGAAGAGGCTCCAAGCATACATGCACATGCTAAGGATAGGAAGGACTTGAAAAGACATAAAAAGAAGGCTTTTGGCATAATTGCCACCAATTTGGATGAATTCAACTTTTCTCACATCGTCTCTTACACAAGACCAGTAGAAGCATGAAAGACTCTTTGCAACATATATGAGAGCAAGAACTTGTCGAACATCATCTTCATAAGGAGGAAGTTCTTCACTTGTAAGATAGAAGAAAGTGAAGATCTCATGGCTCATGTCAATAAGGTAAAGGATCTTATAAATCAACAACAATTATTGACAAGTTTATAAAAGAGGGTGATATTGTCATGACCTAGCTGATGAATCTTTTCAAATCCTACAACTATGTCATTGTGGCATTGGAATCCATCCAGTTGAAGGACTTACAATGAAGTATGTGATGGCAAGACTTGTCCATGAAGTAAGTAAGAAGAAAGAAAAAGAGCTTCAAAGTGAAGATTCAATATTATACTCACGTCAAAGCAAGGACAACATTTCATATCAATGAGGTAATGTCAAAATTTGCTTCATTTCTAAAAAACCAAATGATTTTGCACAAAATTGCTACAAGGCCAAAAAAAGAGATAGAGAAAGTGCCAACAATGTACATGAACAATTTGGAGGAGATTATTTTGCATTCATGGCAAGTGAAGCCACCTCTATGGCTGCCATATCCAAGTGGATTGTTGATTCAAGTGCCACCAAGCATATGACACCATACAAGTATTCATTTGATTCTTATGAAGAAATTTCAGCAACAAATATCTTTATGAGAGACAATGGTATGGTACAAGCTATTGGAACAGGCTCCATTGTAGTAGAGATTGTTAAGAGAAGACAAACAAGGAAGATTAGATTGAAGGATGTCTTGTATGTATCCAAAATCAAGAAAAACTTCTTTTTGGTGAGTAAATTAGTTTCATATGATTGTAAGGTACAATTTGATAAGAATGGGTGCTTTTTAAAGACATTGGATGGAAATGATGTTGCCAAGGGCTTTAGAAATGACAACCTTTACTTCATCAAGTACAAGAAGGTGAATAGAATTGAAGTGGCTACATTTGCTAAGTTTCCACTTGATCAAGACAAGTTTGGCATTTGGCATTGATACCTTAGTTATTTGAATGCCAAGAGCATGAAGGAACTTCAATCCATAGTAAGTGGCATGGATCTTGGTTAATTTAGCCATAATGCCAATACACTTGCTTGTAAAGATTGTATGTAAGGCAAACAATAAAGGACCTCATTTCAAAGTAGAGTAACAACATATGTTAGCAAGTTGTTGGAGATCATACATTCGCATGTTTGTGGACCTATGAAGACACCATCAATAGGAGGAGCATAGTATTTTTTCACATTCATTGATGATTTTTCAAGGAAGATATGGATTTATATCATCAAATGCAAGAGTGAGTGTTTTTTTAGATTCAAGGAATTTAAGGCTCTTGTGAAGAATCAATGTGATTGCAAGATCAAGGTATTGTGCATGGATAATGGATGTGAGTACATGTTGAATCATTTTGATGAGTTTTTGAAGATTCAAGGTATTGCAAGACAAGCCTCTACTCTATACATTCCACAACAAAATAAAGTTGTTGAAAGAGAAAATCGCATCATTGTAGAGATGCACAAAACCTTGGATTTGAGTATTGAATAAAATTTGTAGTAATAATAGTGTATACAAAGAATATATGGCCTTTAAGTGCACTTATATCAAAAACTCTTGATGAAGCTTGAATTGGGAGAAAACCTTGTATTTTATATATGAGGACTTTTGGATGCATTGCCTATACAAAGGTATTAGATTGTATGAGGTCCAAATTTGATACAAAAGGTAAAAAATGTGAGTTTGTTGAATATTGTGAAGATACCAAGGCATATAGGCTAATGGTTTTGAATACCAAGAAGATCATCAAAAGTCGTAATGTAGAATTTTTAGAACATGTGAGTGCTTAAAAACACTTAGAGATGTGTCCAAGTGAGAGTAATAGTATGTTTATAGATACATCTTCAATTTTAGCAAAAAAAAAAAAGATGATGATGACAATGAAGATGGTATGAATGAAGATGAAGAGACAAAGAAGATGAAGAAGGAAGTCTCTACAATTCCTAGGACCAACAATGAAGATGTTCAAGATATTGAAGATGCTGATGATGATGAGGAGTATTAGTCTTTCAATGAGAAAAGACAAAGTTTAAGAAAGAAGAAGCTTGGAAGCAAGTATGGAGTGCAACAAGATGAATCTTCTTCAAATAAAAAGAAATATCCTTTGAGAGATAGAAAACAACTTAACAAATAGTAGAAGAACCATATCTTTCCTCAAGTAAGTAAAGAGCATGCCAATGTTGCTTTTCTTGCTAATCTATTGAATTTGTAAGATGCAATGAAGTGAGAGAAGGCCATGGAAGATGAATACAAATCACTCATGGATAATAGAACATGGAAATTGATCCAACTTCTTCCAAATTGATCTTTAATTGGTTGTAAGAGGGTATTTAGAATGAAAAGAGATGCAATGGATAATGTTGTGAGATATAAGGCAAGATTAATTGCCAAAGGCTATTCACAAGTTGATAGTGTTGATTTCAATGAGACATTAATTCCTATGGCCAAATTCACCACCATTAGAACCATTGTAGCAATTGGGATAGCAATAGAATTAGAGATGCATCAAATAGATGTGACAACGGCTTTCTTAAATGAAAAGTTGGAAGAAGACATCTACATGGATGAACCTCAAGGATTTATTGAAGATAACAAACAATACCTTGTTTCTAAGTTGAAGAAATCTTTATATAGATTAAAATAATCATCAAAGGCATGATACCAACGTATTGATACATTCTTTTTGAATGAGGGATTTGTAAGAAGTGAGGCTGAACATTCTTTGTATATGATGCAATCAAATGAATTATTATTGATTGTCATCCTCTATGTTAATGATTTGATCATATTAAGTAATACTATGGAAAAAATGGATTGGTTGAAGGCAAAGTTAGAGGAAGAATATGAGATGAGTGACTTGAGAGAACTCTACTATTGTTTAGGAGTAGAAATTGTAAGAGATCAAGGTAACAAGACTATTACAATGAGCCAAAGTAAGTACATTAAAGAAGTGTTGAAATGATTCAATATGGAAGATTGTAAGCCTATTGGAATACCTTTTGAAGCCAACTTGAAATTGATGAAGCTCACAAATGAGGAATTTGTTGAAGTTGAAGATGAAATGAAAGATATTTCATGTAAGGCAATAGTAGGCTCACTCATGTATGCAATGGTTGGCATAAAGATGGATCTTGCATATGCGATGAGTGTTGTGAGTCAACACATATAAAAGACTGGACTAATCCATTGGGCAACCATCAAAAGAATCATAAAGTACTTAAAAGACACTTTAAACTTCAAATTGTGTCTTGGAAGGAATAATATTGCATTACATGGTTATTGTGATGCAGATTGGGTTGAAGATGCAAATGATAGAAGATCAACAACAAGATATGTGTTTTTTGTTGGAGTGGGAGCAATCTCATGGAATTACAAGAAACAACCAACAGTTACAAGGTCCACAATGGATGTAGAATACATGGCAGCAAGTCATGGTGTAATAGAAGCAATTTGGCTAAAACAAATTTTAGAAGATATTGGACTCGTATAAATGGAAGCAACTCCAATGAACTATAATAATCAAAGATTTTTTTCTTTTGCAAAGGATTCAAAGCATTATTCAAGAACCAAATACATTGACATTCAACATTACTTCATAAGAAAGAAGATTGAAATGGAAGTCATTGATATGAAGTATTGAGCAACAAAAGATATGCTTACTGATTTGCTCACAAAAGTACTAGTAAAGGATAGGCATTAGAAGTTAACAAAAGAACTAGGATTAATAGACTTTGACCAATAGCAAAATGAGAGTATTAAAATAAATAAGTATTACTATAGATTTGATAAAGTAAGTAAGTATTACTTCAAATAAATTACTAATGGTAAAAAGGCAACAAAAAGGTGAAGAAAAGTAATTAAGGTGGCGACTAGGATTTAGATGGCGGCTAGGGTTTCATTGAATGAAGCAAAGATGGTTGAAGATGAAATTCAGCCATAATAAATGTAAACTCTAGCTATAAATAAAGGGTGTTGGAAGTAAGAGGTTTCTCATTTTACACTTGTCTTGTGTCTAACCTTGCTGATTTCTACTTACTTGTGTCTTACTTATTATATTTCTTCAATAATAGTTACATAAAATCTTTCATTCTATGGTGTATTTTATATCTTTTTTTTTATTGTTCATTACTGTTGAATTGACGATGAATACCTGAAACTTCGCACATATCCAGTCTACTTTTTGAATGTGAGTTTATAATTTCAAAATGTTGTGAAAAAATTAATTTGAGAAATAGCAAAAACTTGAAATAATGTGTGAATCAAAAAAATCATAAAAATTTATTTAAAAAAAATATTTTTTCAAATATAGAGAATTCCAATAACTTTAAATAATTTTGAAGTTGTAGCCCTAGAAAAAAAAAAGTTGTAGGAATTCTAAAACATTTCAAGTTGTGCATATAATGAGCTACTCCAAAACTCAAAGCAATATAATGATTTGAAGTGTTTTGCTAAACTAGATTAGATTTGAAAAAAAGAAAAAAATAAAAAAAATAAAAATAAAATAAAAATAAAGTGTGTAAAAGAGTCACAATCCAAAGTAAAGAAAAGTGGTCGTACGAAGTCTAAAAACAAGGTAAATGAAAAGAGTGTATGGATGCACTATTAGAGAAATTTGGTCTAAAAATTTCTTGATGAATAATAGAATTTGCATGTGCCAATTAACAAAACTATTTTTAGTTAGTGACTTCTCAAATAGAATTTACATAATTTTTAAGAAGAAATATTTGCCCCTTCTTTCTACCTATTGCACGCTTATTGCTTAAGCAACAAGTGGGCATAAAAACCTGTCATGAGGTATTCATTGGCAAGTTCAACAGTAGTATGCAAAATTTAACACGTTTTAAAAATTAAAATTTAGAGAAAAAAATTGCTTCATATGTTTTTGTAATAACTTACTCTATCATATGACTAATGTAAAATTATACATTTGAGTTAATACCAATCTATATATATATATATATATATATATATATTATGCAACTTTGTGTACTTCTTTCTGAAAATATTCAAAACTAACAGTTCCACTCTTAATTACTATTGGTGCTTCCAAAAATATTTCTTTAAAATGACTTAATTTCTTATAAAATGTTAAAATAAAAAAAATTATTTTAGAAACATTTAGAAAAAAAATATAAAAATTTAATTATTCATAAAATTCTTAATATATAAACATTTATTAATACATCCTTGTTTTTTTTTTTTTTTTTTTTTTTTTTTTTTTTTTTTTAATCAAAATATGCGTTTGTTTTGTTTTGTTTTGTTTTGTTTTTCTTTTTCTATTTCTTTTTAAAAATTGAAAAAAACTATATTCTTAATTATATATGTTGATTTATAAATCAATTTATGATTTTTTATATTAAGTTATAATATTTTATTATTATTATTTAAAATAAAAACACGGAAAAATACAAAAAAATCAAAAGATATTAAATACATGATTTTAGCAATCTTTTAAAGTATAAAAATAAAAATAAAATAAATAATTATTTTTAATATATATATATATATTAAAATAAATAATTTTCTCAAATCTATTCTTTTAAAAATAAAATAAAAAATTATCTAAAGTATATATGGAAAGATTTTTTTGATTTATTTATCTACTATATTATACTTTGTATGGGTTCTTTTACTTTATTTTATTTTATTTTTATTATTTAACTACTAAATTAAAATATCTCGTTTTTATTTTCGATTTTCTTTTTTAGATTTATCTGCTATATATATATATATATATATATATATTGAATCTTTACAAATTCTTACTTTTATTCATAGGGTTGATGAAAACTTTTGTTTTGGAGTCCTTTTGTTGTTTTGGTATTTAATTTTAAATTTAAGACAAACAGAATTCTATTTTATTTTGTTTTAAACAAAATGTTATATTAAAAAACAATAGAATTATCTGTTGAATCTATTATAATATAAATTCATACTTTAAAAAAAATCAACATGAGTCTGACTTTCTAAGTTGATGTTTTATTGTAAAATTTTAGAATTTATTCATTTCAAAATTATCAAAAACTTTTCATGTTTTTAAAAAATTAAAATTAGTGAAAATGGTATAATTTTTAAAAATTAACTAAAATGGTATAATTATATATTTTAAAATATATTTGATATATTCAAAATAAATTTAAAAAGTAATTTTGAAATTATTTTAATTCATTAAAATATATGTACATGTTGAATTAGACATGCCATTTAATTTAGACATGGATGTTTTAGCTCTCCATCTCTTTAGTTATTTTGGTGTCAAGGACATAAATCATGAAAAATCAAAAGGTTAATGCATTCTCATATCATTTGGAAGAAGTAGATGATTACTCAAAGATAGTACAGTATTAAGACTAGAATGGCTAGTGCCCAAAACAAGAAAACTAGAATCTAAAAAAATCACTATATATATATATATATATATATATATAAAGATTTATTTTAAAATATCCAAATTTTCATTCTTTTATGATTATATTCTAAATATAAAAGTAGTTTAATAAATTTTTATAGTTAATCTTATTGAAATCCAAGATTCTTTTAAAATATTACAAAATTCTTATATGTATGTATGTAAAGATACATATATATATATATATATATATATATATATACATATATATATTAGTGGAAACTTATCTCATTTGCCACAAAAAAGTATAAAAATTTAATTTGTTGTTGCCAAGTCAAAAATTAACTACTTCAAAAGAAATGTTGATCAAGAAAAAAAAAGGAAAAAAAAGAAAAAGAAAAAAAAAGAGTATATGCATAACAAAAGAACTATTTGTGTTCCTTCATTGCAAATGAAAAATGTAATTACAACAACTAAAATAGCTAAATTAAAAGTCTTGTCTTTATAATTCAATCAGTCAAGTGTGTTATGATCAAGCGTGATTCATTGTTTCTTTTAAAAGATTACAAAACTCTTGTATGTAAATAAATAAATAAATAAATATTTAATTCTTTAAAAAATCCAAATAGTTCAAAAAAATTCATATATGAGAAATAAAACACATAAAAATTGGCATCCAGCACATTAAAAACGTTAACAATTTTCATTAATCTGTATTCACTAAATCACTAAAAACCAACTACGAGCGACGATAAACGTTTATCGGTGTGACTTGTAACATATGCAACTATTCGTGGATGAACAGCACCCATTCATTCATTCATTCATTGATTATCGGAACATGGGCTTAACATTCATTCAGTAATTCATTCATTCGTTATGAATGCCCTGCGTCGTCCTCCGTCCTCCTCCTTTCCAGTCCGTCTCCCTGTTTGTGCGTAGTGCAGAAACAAAGCTTTGCTTTCCGTAGGGGGTGAGGGAGGGAGGCTCATTTGCAACGGAGCATCAAGCAGCGAAGAGGTTCGGGGGAGGGGAAGAGGGAAGGGGGGATTCTCTCACAACGCTTGCACGTATTGCTGCTTTACCACACCCCAACTACCTCGCTATTGACACTCAACAACAAGCGCATAGAATTCTCGGTTTGGAGACGAGAGAGTGAGAGAGGATTCTGCATACACAGAGAACGATGAATTTAGAGGAAGCAGGGATTGGTGAGCCGAAGAAGACGAAGAAAAGCAAGAAGGCCAGGATGAAACTGAAAGCAGCTGCTGCTGCAGCTGGAGGAGGAGGAGCAGGAGCAGGACCAGGAGTAGCGATCGGCGGAGTTGTACCCGTTGTGATGAAGAGAAAGGGCGGCGGTGCCGTAGAGTCGAAGAAAATGAGTGTGATGAGTGGTGCAAAGGGCAATGATGATGGTGACTTGGGAGCGAAGAAGAAGCGGAACCGAAAGAAGCGAAAGAAAGGAGTTCGTGATGCTGGGGTTGAGGAAGTCGCTGAGGAAGGGAATAACTCGCATGAATCTGATGTCGTCGCTGCCACTCCTCCCAAGCGAGAGATCGCGAAGCCTTTGAGCTTTCTTGACAAGGTATGTTTAGAAGAATTTGAATTCGGTTTGGAGTGCTTCTAGGTTGATTTGCGTCGCACTATTGGTGGCTTCAATGGGCCTTCATTAGGTTTTTACTACGCGGTGATTCTTTCTAGTGGTTTTTCTTTTTGCTTGTCAACAATGCTGCGATTCAGGGTTTAGGGTTTAGGGTTTAGGGAGTGAAAGGTTTTTGCACCATGAGTTGGAAATGCTGGTTTAATGCGGAGAAATGTGAAGAAGATGAGGAAGGAGAAATTCTTTTGGTTTGAGACATGCTTGTTTCTTGTTGAGTGCAGATGCGGGCGCGACTCAGCGGAGGCCAATTTCGGATGCTCAATGAACAATTGTACACTTGCAAGTAAGCATTGATGCAATCTCCTTGAGCTTCTGAATCAATTCTCTAACTGTTTTTAGGGTGCGTCATCCATGAAAATCTAATTCTCACTTGAGCTATCCTGGTGTGAGCAATCAGAGGAGAGGATGCATTTGAGCTGTTCCAGAAAGATGAAGGGGCTTTTAAGTTGGTAAGAACTGTTGGTGTTACTATTGTATTTGTTCTTTCATCGGAATTGCATTTACTTCTCCTTGTTTTTCGTGAACCGCCCAGGACTAGGATTTTCCTAAACAACATGAAATTACTGTTCCCCGTGAATCTTTGAGATTCTTCAGGTCTACAGTTAGTCAAGAGTTTATATGTAGCTGCAACAGATTTTTCTGTATTAGAACTCGCGTTTTTTTTGGTTATGTATTTAGTTTCTTGTAAGCATGGCTATGGATGCGTCAGAGATATGTTTTGCAATGAAGTAAGACTCTGGCTACTGTTGTGATGCAGGACTTATACATGTGAGTTTCACTGATTAGGGAACTTTCTTTTGGTTGATATGGCTCACAGTACCATGCAGGATATCAAGAGCAGATGACTCATTGGCCAAGGTTGCCAGTTGACGTAGTTATAGATTGGCTCAAAGCCCGTGGTCCAAATATGGTCGTTGCAGACTTTGGTTGTGGTACGGTCTTCTTCCCAAATGTTTTACACTTATGTCTGTTGATGTCTGTACAGTGTTTCAACAAACGATTCATTTTGGGCAGACCTTGATTACTTCCGTGTCTACTTCACAACAATTTATGTTCTAAGATGTTAATGTCGAGAACTTTCTTTGAATTATCCACCTTACCCAGTTGGAAAGTAATTATTTGATATACCTTGTTCCTTGTTCTGATTGACACTTTTCCTTTTCCTTTGTATAAATCTTCCTCAAACAATTTTGTTGCGATTTTTTTTTTTTTTTTTTTTTTTTTTTTTTTTTTTTTACTTATTCATAGTTGACTCAACCTTTTAACAGGGGATGCAAGACTTTCGAAATCTGTCAAGAACAAAGTTTACTCGCTGGACCTTGTAGCTTGTGACGATACTGTTATTGCTTGCAACATGGCCAACGTGAGTCACGTGTCACACTACAGCTTTAACTTATGATCGTTTGAGTTCTTGTGCTGGATGATTATTGCTTGACAATTGATAAATCGCCTGCAGACACCTTTGGAGAAAGGCTCCATCGATGTTGCTGTTTTCTGCTTGTCGCTGATGGGAGTTGACTACCCACGTTTTCTCAAAGAAGCACATCGTGTACTAAAATTAGGGTGCATACAATTCTTTCTCTGTCTGGAAACAAGGACGCAGTGATTCATTTGGATTATTTACAGAGCGTTCATGATCCACTGCTTTTTGAAAATTGCATTCTATGAACAAATAATTGAAGTATGACAACAAGAGAGCGGTCCCTGTATAGGATACAAAACAATTTACTCAAAGTAGGAACCCCAGTTATGACTTGACGCATCCTTATATTTTTGACGAACCTTGTGTTTCTAATATGGGATTGTGGTATGAGCAGAGGATTCTTGCTGATAGCAGAAGTCAAAAGCCGCTTCGATCCAGCTAATGATGGTGCTTCTCCAACTCAGTTCGTAGATGCGCTCAAACGCCTAGGTTTTGCACTGGTTTCCCAGGTTTGATTCTTACAAACCGCTATTGGTTTGGGAAAGCTTCTTATGGCAGTTGCTTGTCGGCTGTTATTAGTTCTTATTGGAATCAATGCCATTGGTGACCGTACTTGTGGGTCATTTCTGCTAGTTCTAACCGAAAGATGGTTAATTTTAGTACCTATACAAAATTTGCATACAAAAACTACCTGTTTCTAAATTTGAATGAATATTCTACTCTGTTTTGCAGGATGAGAAGAACAAAATGTTCTGTATGTTTACATTTAAGAAACAGGTAAATTGAAGAGTTTTCACAGCAGTCTTTTTTTTTTTTTACCATACCCATTAAATTCTTTTCCCAACCAAGTAATCCAAAAGTCTTGTCCTATTTTGCTCTGGACCCTCTCAGTTTAAATCCCTGATAAGTTAGTATCAAGTCACAGCTGCAAGGCGAAAGTTGTGTTCCCTCTATTGGCGTAGATATTGTTCACAATGATTCATGTACTTAGATTTCTGTTATGTTCAGCACATCATGTCTGGCACATTACACTTGTCATCTTTACATGAAGTACTAACTTGAAAGTTCTGGCTCTTTTTTGGGTTGAAGCTTCTCTTCAATCGTCTTTCTCTCGGCTTTCTTAAATTTCCTTGGTGATGTACAGGGAGAGAAGACGGGAAAGAAGCCAATTCAATGGCCCGATCTGAAACCTTGCATCTATAAGAAGCGGTGATCCTATGTATTGTCACCATTCAAAATAGCACGAACAGCAATTTATGGGCAAGGAGTTGTGGTTCGTTCAGCCAAACTATTTAAGTCGACACGAGGCTGAAGGTACATTCCACATGGGTTTTTCTTATTGTCATAAGAATTGCTTCTTCTCAAACATATCTGAATAGTCTACTGGCACGTTGATGCTTACAAATAGTAACTAGTGTTCCTGTATGTCTTATGAGATTATCAGGCTGCTGTGTCCTTACTTCCACTCTGGCACTCGCCCACGCAATCTTACAATTTTGTAGCAAGTTTTGATTACGATGAAATTCTGGAGTGAATCTCTTATTCAATTTACCACTTACTGAGGCATCAGTCAATACATCAGACTGTTGCATCTCAATGGTATTTTTTACCCTATGGTGCGTTTCTTTGGACTAAGGACAATGATGTGGATGTCAACATAGCAAGACTCATTTGGGGAATATAGACTGAAGAAACATAATAGCCAATCTAAATGTACGTCCTTATTTACAATCCTAATAGACAATACTTGGAAGAAGTCATAAGAAAAAAAACCTGTAACCTAAAAATGAACAAATCATGTATGTGAAATAGGAATATATGCAATTCAAGATAAGTCAGTGAGTTTTTTGATAATTGAGTTTCAAATCAAATGTATGAATTGAGATGTGATAATTGTCTCAGGTTAATTATGTTGAACTAAACTATTGTAGGTTTTCTTCTTTGATTTTACAGTAGTGAATTTTTTATTGCAACTGTTGTTTATTTTGTTTTTTGTTTTGTTATTGTAGAAGAAATTTGAACCACGAACAATATCAAGATTGCTTTAAGGATATCCAAATTGTATTTATATATAGGTCTAAGCTACAAGCACATCCAAAGTTGCTACACACACCTCATAGTTACATGCACATCCAAAAAATGTAGAGGTTTGTAATTGACTTGGTGTTTTTATATAGACTTTGTCTTGATACAATTGAAGAAGGGAGGGTGGCAGCCCCTTTCTGGTGGTCTTGTTGATTCATTAGTGGACAATGTTAAGGATCATTTTCTCTTATAGGCCTTTTAAGGGAAGAGTTCTAGGAAGAAAATTTAAAATCTATACCTTATATTGGCAGATTTTTCACCGATTTTCATTGCACTACATTTAACCTCATCACATAATAGAGATTAGAAACACCACATCCAATTCTAAATCTTCTCTCAACATAACAAGGGCAAATGGTTGCTAGTCTTGTAGTTCAACTCCACCATTCTTCTTAGCATTTCTAAAGCAATCACCTTCAAGGACTAATGTTGAAGATCACCAAACACATGTTGTTTACTACTTAGGAAGTTTTGAAGAGAGGAGCCATCTCTTGAATTGAATCCAACCTTTGCCAATATTATTGGATCAAGGTTGGAGGCAAAATTTTCTTATGGAGCAAACTTGAAGCAATGGCCTTTGGGATCTTAGAACATTAGACAAAGGTGTGTGTTGCAAGAATTGGAAACAATACAAAGTGGCCTAAGTGCCTTATTAGATTTGGATCTTTGAGATGCAAAACAAAAAGATAGTCTAAAAAGAATACACAACAAAGTCAATTTTTTAGGTTCTAATGATTCTAAGTATCATGATGCTTATGGCTGGGAGCAAAATAATAATAAATTACTATTTTTATAATTTTGTAGTATAATACCTCAATTGAATGAATAATGACTTGTTCAAATATACGAGAAATATCAATATATTTGATTAAGAATATTTAGTATAAAAGAAGAAGCTGCATGCCAATATGACATTGCCGCCGTTAAATTTTATGGTTGTGATATAATGACCAACTTTTGGCTAGTTACAAATTCAAAATATGAATTTGAATTCTTGTGCTCTTTCAATAAATTTTTTTTTTATAAAAATATTGAATCATCTTACATTATTGTAGTGTAATTATTTATAGTATATAAAAATTAACTAAAACATATAATATATTTATAAGTATTGATGTATATTGGAGTAGTTAATAGGTTAATTTAAAGAAAGTTGATGTAAGAAAATTTATTTTGAAGTTTATTTATTTTAATTATAATGTTTAAATTACATAAGATTTAGATTTTAGTATAAAATTTAAAGAGAAGATTGAGGTTCAAAGATGAAGATTCAAACCTCTAAGAAACTTATTTGGAGGGATGAAAGTAAGGTATGGATGGATAAAGGCCAAGGATAAAGATCTTCATCCCTATTGGTCAATAAGCTCTAAAGAGGCTGTCTGTGACTACAACAAGGATTTTGGTGACTTCAAAAGGAGAATTTAAGAATTAGAGGCAAAGATTGTAAGATTTAGAATTTTTACTACAATTTGTATATAAATTTTAGAAGATTTGGAATTAGATTGATGAAGTTATAGCTGTTTGAAGTTAAGGTATCTTTTTAAGATATACTATTGCTCTTTTGAAGATATAAGGAGTTTTATGATAAGTTTTGGAAATGAAGAAGTGCAACCGCAAGGGTGATTTCAAGACCTACATCTTTTGTGAATGAATTTTTGTATTTGAAGTCTATATGAAGGAGTTATAGAGTGTTGAAGACAACATATATAAATTTAAGGCAATAAGTAAGTCATTTTGTTGATAGTAATGGTTGGAACCATATCTTGAATTTCTAGAAGAATTTTTGGCTCAAAATTTCTTAAAATGTGTGTTATTAGTTTAAGAAGATATAAATCAAAAGTTTATGGTATTTAAGTACTTAGTTTGTGAGATATGAAGAAAATTACACATGGGTGTATGTAAGCAAGGATTTGAAGCTACTATTAGGATTTTGGCAATATCTCAAGATTCGTAACAAATTTGTACTTGAAATTTGTTTTGGTAGTTGTTGAAAGTACATTAGTACTTCATGTAAAATTTTGGTTTATTTGGATGGTCCAATCATGAAATATGAACTATTGAAGTTCGGAAAGATTTCGCTTTAAAGCTATATTAGGTTTTAGAATATTTTTATGACATTTTGGATGATCTTTGGTACTTAAGACTTATGTATTGATGTAATTACCCCTATAGGAAAAATTTCATATACAAACTTGGTACTTTTCTATCTTGTAACTTATTTGAGCAATTAGTGACAACTAAAAGTCCAATGCTTTTTTAAGATAAATTTTCTCCACCTCGACAACATATAATAAGGAATTTCATGAATGCAAGAATGTCTTCAATATGGATGTTACTGCAAATCTTGTTAGTGCACAACAATAAGCTCTTAAAATATGTACGTCATCAAATCAAGATAATCATCTATTCTCATTTATAATTTGTATATGATGATGTATAATGTATATTCTTGCTTGAAAATGCATCAGACACCTAGTTGTGGAAAGTAAGTAGAAATCAACAACAATCCTATTAAATCTAATAAAATCTCAAATAAATTTTAAATAAACCTTAATAATTCTAATCAAACTTTGATCAATCTAATATAAATTCAAAATGATTTATAAAAAAAATCCAAAGAAGTTTTAAAATCTATATATATATATATATATATATATATATATATAATTTTTTAAAAAAAAACCTTTAAAAAATAAAAAAATCTTTAAAAAATACTAAAAATAATTAAAAAATAATCTCAAAAAATACTAATAATAAAATCTTAAATAAATCCTAATAAAATCTTAATTTAATCTTAATCAAAATTCCAATAAACCTTAATCAAATACTAAGTTAAATCTTAAGTTAAATCCTAATTAAATCCTAAATGAACCTTAATCAAATCTTAGGTAAAATCCTAATTGAAACCTTAATAAATCATAAATCCTAGACAAATCCTAAACCAAGTCCTAAAAAAATCCTAATTAAACTCTAAATTTTAAATAAACTCTTAATAAATCCCATAGCAGATTAAAATCTCAACAACTAATAAATGAATTGTTGATATCAATTCAAAATTTGCATACTTTTTAATATATTAGTTAAAAAAAATTACAAGAAAGATGATATTGATTGCACTAGCCAATTGAGAGAAATGCAAGATAATCTAATCGGGTGTTGGACGGCCTTTTACTCCAATTTGAATGCTAAACTTCAAATGCAAATACCTCCTTGAATAGTTTAATTACTCTCAAATTTCATTCAAATATTAGAAATTGAATTTAGACTAAAAATAGATAAATTGAGTCTAGTATCTATATAATTCAATTGATAGATTGCTAAAGATCTTAAAAATACTTGTTAACATTCAAACTCCAATTTTTGAAACCTCAATCTACAAAAATCCTCATATACTTCAATCTCACTATTTGACTGATCTCAAAATTTGCATATACATTTATAAATAGCAAAACAACACATTGTCCAAATTTTATCTATATACATACTACAGAAGTCAAGTAACTCTCAAATTTGTAAACATATTTTTATTTCTCAAATCTTCATTCTATCAAGACCATTACTAACTTTAAAAATCCCTCAAAATCTCAATATTGATTCAAATGATATGAATCCAAGGCTTAAAAATATCTCTTCTACTTTGCTTTCAAATCTTACTCTCCAATCTACTAAAAAACCTTAGAGTTGCCGTATGAGTATGGTTTTAAGCTTCAAGATGTGATTTTGATCTAAGTTGACAATGGATCCTTTTTGGATATCAATTTTTTGATAATTTGAGGTAAGTTTTGCCTTAACCTTTTTTTTAACTCTCTTTTAAACAAACATATATCAATTTCTTATCTCATTTATTTTAATTTGGCTTATTTATACCTCTACAAAATAAATAGAAATTCCTTCTATAAAAGATATTATTAAGACTAAATCTTTTACTATCTTTATATCATTTATCATTATATTTTTACTACATCTTTCAACTAACCTCTTCTATAATAACATCTATATTTTTATTTTTTATTATATAGTCATGTTACCAAATAACAATGGATGAAAGAGTAAAATTTGAATATCATCATTTTGTAAAGGCCATTGTAGTAGATCCAAAATATGCTTGTAAAAGCTCAAAATTTTAGAAATAATTATGAACTTGTTTCATCATATATGCAATTTTTTAAGTCTCATTTAGATAGCTTGCATTTATTTATCAACTACATTAGTGCTAGTCAGATCAACTATTATAACTCATGTAATATTATACCATAGTGCATATATAGCAACAAAAAAACTAATATAAAAAGTTGAATTAGAATTTCATCTTATTGTTGCTTATTCATATTATAAGCACTTGTGGTTTATTTGCCAATATCCAATATTACTATATACACCACAAGACATTGTCAATACTTTATATTTGTAGTGCTCAAATCAAGATAGATCTCTTCTTGTATCATTTCTCTACAACAAATTCCTTCTTGTATGTACCATCTACAATTCAGCAATAAGTTGTGGTTGTTTTTGTGACATAATTTGAAGTTCTATAAGTACAAGTATTTGTTGATGTTATAAAAGATTATTGATAGTTGATGCAAATTTTTCTAACATGTTGGACAAGGAATCAATTGCATTCTTGACAAAAAAATGGAACTTCAATTGGCTTTGATATATACCAATGGTACTCAAAGTAATTGAGATTAAAGCATCATTTTTTACATTGCATAGTTTGAATTAGATGAAGGTGTGGTAGGCGAAGTATTGTAGTGAAAGTTCCTTTGTATGGCTCAATATTACCTACAATATGAAAATGTACAAGTTTAACTTTTTTATAGACCTTTTTCAATGTATAGTGATAGATTAATTGGTTGATATCCTAAAAAAATTCAATGCAAGGAGTTGGATTGATAAATGTCAAGATGCATATCTTTTTACAAGAGAGTTATACTACGTACTCCTTGTATATGTGTCAAGGATAAAAATTTAATGAAAGCAAATAAAAAAGTGAGACTTTCTCAAAGAAGTATGACAAAATAAAATTAAGCTATTATATATATTGAAAAGAAATTAGAATGGATGTTGCCAAAAGATAAGAAAATTAGAGACTCTTGAAACTAGAATAGAAGCAAGAAAAGAATTGATATGAGTAAAAAAAGGCTTCATTCTTGCTTCTATTTTTACTATCTACATAAGAGCTATATAGTGATATTCTATAGGACCTCCAAAACGTGTTAACTTTATACAACACATATTTTAATTTGCAAGATAAGTTTTCTATATAGGCGCCACATAGTTAGCTTGTTCTGCAAGCTACCAACATGTAGATAACTTGTTGACTAAGTTTCTAACCTATCAATCAACTACAAATACATATAAAATCAAAGCAACATCTATAAAGATTCTAAAATGATTTCTTAGAAGATATTATGAAATAAATCTACTTTCACATACTTCTACCTATTCATATTATTTAGGTAATAATTACAATAAATATATGTCTATGACAACATATTCTTAATGAGAAACTCTAGGATCTAGCATATACCAACCAAATTAAATTTACTTGATCCAAGATGTTGCTTGAACATGTAGTATATGCCTTTTGCTACAGAGATTACAAAGTTACCAAGGTAATAAATCTTCTTTGTCCAAGCAGCAAGAAATATTTTTTTATACACATGAATCTATATATTCTTAATGTAAATAATTGTGTTGGAGAAATTGGAATTCTAGATCTCTACAAAAGCACTCCATTATGCTCTAAACTTATCTTTTCTATACTTACACTACTAAGTGTTAACCTTGCAAAAATTCTTGCTACTACTTATTTGTAAAGTCTTGCTTGCAATTTTCTAAGTTATTCTTGTAAATATGCTAGAAGCATAGAAAAATAGTTACAGATAGAAAGATTTCTTTATTTGCATTAATTATAATTAATTCATAATTTGCAACAAACATGTTAGGCTAAAGTACCTTAATAAAGAATTGTTTGATATATTCAAGCATTATATGGTAAGATACAACTTCTTCCAAAGCCATGAAAATAAGCACTATTATAAAAAAACTATTGAAAATCATGCATCTAATAACATGTAAGAGCATCATTTGATATTTTTTGCTTTTATAGGTGGCATCAATCAACAATAGTTTTAGATTCATGGAAATAAGATTAATTGAAATAAGACAAGAAAAATAAATGTGGAACATTGTTCCACTATTTATTATTATGTGTACTACTTGGAAATCTTAGCAAGTGAAGTCATCTAGTAAAGCTTCAAGTGGTGTCTGTTTATTGAATAATATCTTAAAAAATATTTAACAAGCATTATAGATTGACTTTTGTATAGTAACAAGTCTTCTATCTTATTAGCACATAATTGTCAAAATCTCATACATGCAAATATTTGCATGTAACAAATTGTCAACACATGTCATTTCAATTGTCATTAGCTTCATATGAATAACATGTCTAGAAGGAGTCAATAATGGTTCATAATTGTCCTCAAGATTAGTAATCTTAAAGTGCCAATAATTGTCTCTATTTTTCTAGCCAAGCAATAATTTTAAGTAGGCAACTAATTTTTTGTTTTGACATATCTTGCTTTCAAAAAAGCTCAAAAATGGTGCTTTTGTAGCCACCATTGTGGTCACAACAATACCATATGTGGCAATATTTCTTTGAGTGCTTAGTCACAATGACATAGTTATAATCTACTATCTGGATTTTGATGTCTTTGAACAATTCTTTCCATGAGTTGTATATTTTTTCTAAATCTAGTAAAAATAGGCTCATTATGAAAGAAAAAGAGAGAAAGCAAGAGTAAAAAAGAGAGAAAAAAAAAATAATGGTAGAAAGAAGTTGAGACAAAATTTAAATAAAAATTCAATGCAAATACTATTGATTCCTTGTTTTAAGATTGTACATGCCACTTAAGTAGCAACTCCGCATTGTCAAATATAAAGAACAAAAATCAAAACTTAGAGACAAGTCATGTAGCATGAGATTATTTAAGATAATCTTTCAAAGAAAGGATTATATGTGTGTATTTGTGTGAGTGAGAGAGGAATTTCTATAGCAAGAATAGACCTCATTTGATAAATGAGCTAGTGTAGTATTTTGCATTTGTTGTGCAAAAGACATGCATTGCAGTTTGGCTTACTTATTGTATAAAATACCTACAAAAAAATATCTCCTACTATTGCATATGATCTTTTGTCTAGATTCTACCTTAATAATTATAAATTCTTATAAATTCGAGTTACAACTTAATCTTAATTCCACTTTAATACTACTAAATTTCTATAAATTCAAGTTTTAACTTATAATATATATATATATATATATATATATATATATATATATATATATATTGTCATTTAACTATTAATAAAATATTTACTTACTCCATAAAAATTAATCTTCAAAAATTTATGCCCTAAATTTTCAACATGTCTATAAAAGATTATGCTACTTGCCACACTCATTCTCATCTCAACATAACAATGTGTTGTTGAAAGTTGTATCATTGTGCACATTCTTCCTCCTCTTGGTGGTATATGCAATGTTGTTTTATGTGTGGTTCTTTTGCATAATTGGTCCTTTATTCTTTGATTGGAAATGCCAAGTTCTCTCCCTTTGCATTTTGAATCATTTGCAATTCACACTATGATATTGTCTTTTCAATTATTGGCCCTCCTATATTGGGTCACATTCAAGATTCTAATGTGATAGAATTAGAGATGCAACTATTGTCAAAAAGAAAGTTGATAGAATTGGACAAGATATCACCAACTTTCTACAAGATCAAGGAGAGACTAGACAATTGTGGCATTGCTAAGAATTGGAATGTATAGAGATCTTGTGTGGAGGCAAGTACATCTCAGATAATCATATCGAGCTCAAAAATTGCAAGAAGTTGATAGTGGACGCTACTCCTATTTTGAAGAAGACAATGCTTAGCTCCAATATCCCATCTACCATTGGAGCAGGTTCATTGTAATTGAAGAGTATTCAACCTATTATTCAATTTTTACAGGATCTTTCATCTTCTAGTGCTTTTTGTCTTTATTTCCTTTTAAAAATTGCAAATTATCCTCAATTATCACCTATGTGTCCCTCTTATTTTCTTGACAAGTAACCAAGTTTGAATTTCTTTAACTTATAAAGCAGCGGCCTGAGTTTAGTGCTTTTATCAAAAATTCCCTTCCTACTTATCTTCATTTTTTAAATTATGATATTTAATTTTTAAGAAACTAATAGAAAAACGACAGCATCTGTAGTTTATTTTAAATTTAATATATCAACAATAACCTAACTACTTAACATATAGCTCAAAATTATTAATAAATGAACTATGTATAATACACAAGGATTACATTGTTTACAAATATTATAAGATAATTTAAATATACAAAAGAATATAAATTAGTAGAATTATTATTTTTTTATTTTAAATATTTCAAATGATCTTATATAGTTATTAAAAAAAGCTAAAGTACATTTTTTGTAATTCACTCTAATATGAAATTTTTGGCTCTATACTAAAGTTTATAGTTAAAAATTTAATTGACCAAATGTTATAATTTAAGAAAATTAAAAATTCCCAGAAAATATTTAATCAGTAAATTTATTCATAAAAATCAAATTAAATAAAGTGATGAGATAGATATGATCACCACATGACTGTTACTTTAATGGTTTTTTTAAATTTTATTTTAGAATGTATTCTAAGCCATAACTACATAAAATTTGTTATAAATATACATATTTATATGGAAAAAAATTTGCAAATCCTTCAAAAATATTGACAAAAAATACTTATTAATATCATTTACATAACTCTTTTGTTCTAATAAAATTAATTGATTTGTTAAATATTTGTAATTGAATGTCCCTTCATATATTTCTTTAATATAGGTGGCTTTAATTAAAACTTCTAAAGTTGAATTCATGTTTAAACAACATAGTAGACATAGTAGACATGCTATAGTTTATAAAAACCAATTATATTTAAATCGATCCTAATTTGTAATTATAATAAATAAATAAAACTATTTGGTAATCCAAAAAAACCATTGACAAGATAGCTCAGCATATCCAAAATAAAATTTTATGAAGAGAACTACTCAATTGCATGAAATGGCCAAATTGACCCCATAAGAAGTCTCATGATGCACAGTTCTTGGAGCCCCTACATCAATGCCTTGTTCTGATGGGAAACCAATGTCTGATCTCTCAAAAATCCCTGGGCCGTAGACCCCATCAGCACTCAATAACTCCATTCCTGCATTGAATAGTTCCTACCATCTGTTGTCTCGATTTAAACCATATTAATAAATATGGTAAATACAATCTAATTGAGAAAAATTTGGAATGAATACCGAAATGCACGCCCAGCATTGGAACCTTAAAAATGGTTTCGTATAATTTCCAATTTATGCGGACGTGGCTTTTGCAGTCACTACTGGTTCATCGTTGAGAGACTTGTGAAAGGCAACCTGTTCCAAAGTTAAACAACACAAGCAACTATTCGTGAGTTTCATGCCCGCTTCAAACAGCAACAGAGAAACATATAGCAAGAGATTCTCGCAAGCCATTGTGGTTTGCCGAGTGAAAATGGTTCGGGGATGTCAAACCAGGAGGAAAAAAAACATATATATATATATATATATATATATATATATTATCGAAATTTACACAAGACACCAGTATGAGGAGAAGCTAATTTCATGAATGGTCTCTCACTGGAGCTTAAAGTGTCGTCCAATCCCTTTCTCTCCTATTCGCATTATTTAAGCCTCACTACTAAAGAATAAGAAGGGGTAAGATGCCATACCGACGTGGATATCTTCATAAGCTCCCTGAGAGCCATCGTTGCGTAACATGATGCAGGTAGCGTGAAACTCAATTGAAAAGCTGTCTGCTCATTCTCTACTTTATTTTTAGAATCCTCTGTGGATTCTTCAGAAACTTTCTGAATTCTGTCCAGATCAGTCTCAGCTAAAGTTTTTGTTGGATCACTATACTTCAGTATTTTCCTGAAACAAATATAACACAGATGTAAATATCAAGAGCTGATTACAAATAGTCAATCCAATACACTAAACAACATGAAGCAGAACTTCGTCAGATGATAAACCTGTGCCACAATGCAGATAGGTATACATATAGAAAAAGAAAATTACCACTCCAAGTTCACTGGTTTCTGAAGAAACAGTCTGTACGCTCCAGGCAGAAGAGGTAACGCAAACTCCCTGCTCAAAGGAGACACCAGAACATGAGCTGTGTATGTCAGAATAGGACAAAGTCATGAATGGAGCTAAGGTACATAATAAACTTCTATATACTAAAAACGAAAGTAAAACATGCAATTACAGATATACAACAGAAAACTATGCGTTTATGCAGTGGTAAAGTCCGACTGTTTACACAAACACAGGTACTCACTTCACGTTGTGGGTAGACTTCTGAAGGTCCACGGAATCCTGCAGGGTAACAATTGTATATACAGGGTCAGAAAAAGGGGCAAGCAGAGCTGCGGCAACATCCTTACCAAGGAAAATCTAAATATTCTTGAATGTACCTGGTAATACAAAGAAATTCAATAAAACTACAAAGAGAACTCAAACTCAGATATGATAAATGTGATTCTGATGTGCAAAAGTTGTTTCCAATGACTGACAAAGAAACCATAACAAGTGGATAAAAGATAACAGTACTTGATACACACAATGCAAAATGAGACTCGAGGCGAAGACAGTGCTTTACGACTCAAGCACACAGTTAACCAATATGTCAAGGGCACGAAAAGCATGCTTGCAATGGTATTGGTCCAGACCTTGCTCGCCAAATCATGGTACACATCGGCAGTGCCGTTAGCTGGGAATATAGAAGAACCCCTGCACACATGTAAAAACGTCTAAAATCATGTAGTATCATGGCAATTTCCAATCAGCAGCTAGTATCACTTCAGTAGCGGTTGGACAAACAGATGTAGAGGGTGTAAAGATCTGTTACTACATGAAGTTGAGGATAACACTATATACTATGTTCATAATGGTATAGCACATACCCTGGTAAAGGAAGTAGCACATCTGAAATATTGTACTTTCCTGACGCAACGTCTTCTTTTGTCAAGCACTGTACATAAAAATAAAATTGAACTTCTTTAAGAAGGCATTAGTTTCCATAAAGAATGTAATGAAGGCATTTCTACATCAGAAGTGAAAGTATAAAAGTTGAAAGAAGACCTTGATTTTGTTGCTGGCTTCAGCAGGAACATCAGCCTCTACCACATCATCAAGTAACACTTCAGGGGCTCGTACTTCCGAATCGTTAAAAGAGGATTCAACAATCTTTGATTCCGGTGCTTCATCAGTGCCCTGTAAATCCTTGTCATACACAAGATCTCCCTCAACGACCTTGTCAACCCCTACACACCAATTGAAGAAACATATCAGTCAGAGCTATTGTAAGACAAATAACCTAAAATTGCCAAGTGCGCATTAACTGTGAATTTTGAAACTCTTGATTACCATTGAAATGATCTACATTCCATTCCTTGTCTACACATCCTTCTCTGAAGACTAAACAAGACTCTGGGCTTCCGCAATGTGTTATACATTGCATATGTAGTTCAAAATGTATAGTTAGTAAAAACCTGTCGATACAGGTGAAACATACCATAAGTTTTGGCGCGATAACTCGCTGCATGATTCCAAAGAAAGCTTTGGTAGCTGTGCACGTACCTGATCATCAAGTTAAGTTCCTGAAAGTCAGCTCTTATTAATCACGTTGATTGAATTGTTGGTTTAAGATGTGCACTTGCTTTGTATATTAAATGTCCCCAAGTATCAAACCCAAAAACATCCAAACGGGGATTATCAACTCTTCTAACAAAGATGACTGACGAGTACCATGAGGACAAAACCCCTAACAAGGGGAAGATATTATCATAGTTCAAACCCTATTTCAACTGTAACGACAAACACACAGCATATACAACGTTACAGTAGACAACCATACTGGTCTCTTTCCTAACTTCACAAAGCATTTGAAACATCACATAAAGGTGTACCCTGCAAAATTCTACACTAGGCTTCATGAAGGAGAAGAGTATGAAATATACATCAGCCGCAATGTTCTGGGAATAGAGCAGATTGCTTGCAGGTAGTTTTTGGAATCACGCTTGAGACTTCCTAGCTGCCCAAATCCACGACAGCATCAAAAACATGACGTTATTTAGATGTAGACCCTTCCAGATTTATGGTTACAATTCAGTAGAAATCAATAGAAAGAAAGTGTAAATCAGAACTAAATCTTCGGCATCAATGCATTCATGCTCGTTAAGTTCTTACAATTGCCCGTTCAGCAGTCAAGTAACGGGGAAACTTATGCAAGGCCCCATCGACATTTCCAGTCTTCTTGAAATATTCTCGTGCTTCTTTAACTTCTGGTTGATGTGTTTCTGATGTCAAGGAACTTTCACAGAATCTAAATATATGATTTTCGCGACCAAGCGGTTACCACAATTTATGATAATACAATTGGCTAATACATATCCCTATATTTCGAGAGGACGCGGAAAAACCCACAGAAAAGAAAAAGAAAATCAAAGCACAAATCAACAACAAAGATAACTCACAAGATGGGCAATGACGATTCACAGGTACTAAAAAATAGCAAAAGAAAAATCTCTGCCATATTCAAGCAACGAAAATTAAGAAACATTCGGACAAGTCTTCCTATCGTAAAACCACCATCAAACTAGAAAAAAGAGAGAAGCAACAAACAAGACAGGATATCTTCTTCCCGCGGATCTAATATCAACTCCGCCGCTGCTTTCCACTCTCCTCTTATTAAGGCGGCTCCGACATTGTGTGTCGCTATGGACCCACTTCCAAATCGCTGCAAATGAGAGCCACGACATAAAGCAAGTCATTTGATAACAGTTGCATGGTATTTGGTCCATAATCTGAAAGTACACTGTCATAATTCACCTCAGACCCAATAATGTGCTGTTTTACAGTGGGTAATAAATAAAACCGCGACACCTTACTTGTAGACCGAAGTAATTGATGAAGCCACTCTCTCCAAGACCTTTTACAGCGTTCTCGATTGACTTGTCAGTTTCTGCCACGACACCTCTGTCGCAAAATAAAATAAAAAATAAGCTTGCCAAGCATTCAACTGAAGACACAATTTGACACAAAGCAAAAGGAACTTTTAGAATCATTTCAGGAACTCAACTGACTATTAAGATACTAATCATTACCAAAACAACCATACTGAACTACTTGAACCTAAGAAAGTCAGAAAGTCACAAACTAGAGGTAAGAAAGTCGTCTAACCTCAAAGTAATAGTGAATCGATTTCCGGACAACATTCCCAGAACCAATGCTTTATCCACATAACTGCAAGGAAGAGCATGTAAATTCTCAAATAAACGAAAGTAAATTCCAAGTCGAAGTGTCCCTGAATGTCCTAACTTCAACAATAGAGAATTGCTCAACGTGCATGGATAACGGATCGGAAATTGCACCTGAAGTTTCCAACTCTCATACCAAACAATCGCTGATTCAAAGCTGCCATTTTTGCTGCTGATTGCTTGAATACGGTTACCTGAAAGTAGGGACGTTGAAGTGGGGAATATAATCAATCAGCACCAAGGTGTTTAGTCCAGAACCAAAATGAAAAAAGATTGCTAGAGATTGGAGCTGGTTTTTAAACCTGCTGTGTTGTAATGGCTCTTTTGTCCTTTGTCCCAGCGAATCCAAAGTTCTTCGGCTATCAATGATGGATAAGCCATCAAAATCCAGAAGCATTAGACTTGAACAGGATGATGCAAACGTACAAAGTTTGACGTGCTTCACACTCTCAAAAAATGATGCTTAATAATGATCTAATACGAAGAAGAGATCCAATGGAAGCCACACAATAAAACGAATGCAAGCGCCACCATATCACAATTAGGCAAGCAGAATGACTAGATAAATTGCAAATACCTGAACATGGAGCATTCTGCCGATAACAGTCAAAGAATCTTGAGTGTCCTTGTTTTCCTTGTAGAGGTGAAACCTGAATTTCAAAGCAAGTATGCACGTTGAGTATTGGTTTCAATTCCTCCAATACATTAAGCAAATACATCTCATGGTACCATAGCATGGCCTACACTTAAAGTGGCACCTATGAAGTAATAGTAATCATCTACAGGAAAAGATATAAGAAACACACCGCAAAAATTTAGGGCGCTCGCTTGGCCAACCATCTGAATCCCGCGCATCGTACGGTTGCTCAAGGCCACCTTCGGTTGCCTTCTGGCGTTTGCTGTCCCTGCCCCAACCGCGACCCCGACCACCGTGCTCCCTACCCCGTTTCTGAAATCGGTTTCCCCCACCTTGGTTACGAGGTTGATGTCGAAGACGAATGCACTTGTCCGTTGCGGAAGCCCCATCGACGGTGTCAGATGTAATAAAGGTTAAACGGCTCTTGAAGAAAGTATGAATCATCTGTAGAGAACACCTCGACCCCATAAATACACTAAGAGGCACACCGACTGGTTGCATTACCTCACGGCTGTAAGTAATACGTGCTGAACAGAGCGTCACTGGCTATATACAAAGTAATAGATCCTTTTCGCTAGTTTACTTCATAGATGACGTGCTAAGAGGTAATGTTTGGCCTAAAGACGGGGAGAACGTAAAAACGCATTTGACATACCCCTCGGTGGTTTTTGTCATCATCAGGTGCAAGTAGGACTGGCGGAACAGGATCGTTGGAATTTGCAATTTGAACAAGAAGGCCTTCCAGCACTTTTGCATTGCTCTCCCCAGCGATCTCTTTAAAGGCCAGAACATCTGCAGCATAATCATCACTCAAGGGTTTTGGCTGCTTTTCCCCGTTGACCTCCTCTTCATCGTCTGCTACACCTTCCTCAGAAACTTTAACAACTTTTGCCCTTTCCTGATGCAGTGAACAAATTGATAACCGTTACTCAAACCGTGAATTTGTCCCTGGCACAAGAGAGATCTCATGCAAAGAAACAAAAAGGGCAACTAGAACGTCTGCAGGAGCGAAGAAGAGTGGCCCGCAGCTCGAAAGAGTAATGAAAAGCTCAAGAGAAATAAATTAGCACGAGACGGTATCTAACATACCTCTAAAGGAGCCTCAAGATCCGAGAGATGAATGACATTGCCTTCAAGATCAACCTCGTTTACAATAAAATCTGAAAATCTAATAAAACAATGCGCGACGTCAAAGGTCATGATCTCTGCAAAGAGAATTCAACACTTCTAAGAACATCATCATACACCATTGAACAGATCTATCTAAGTTCATTGAGAAAGAAAATGGAGTCTACAACGCATCTATACATAAACAGAGTCTAACATTACAGCTCTCCCCCTTGAATAAAAATCTTACCTCTGCTTCAGAATACCTCGAAAACCTGGGAGAGAATTCGCATAACTCAAAATCCCAACATTCTCTTCTGTAGACATTTCTGATTTCACATCACAATTTCACATTACACTTTTCAACAACTACAAAGACCGAGCCCAACAATTCAAAACACACTCACGACTTCTCGTCAGAATTGCTGTAGCCCTAAATTGTTTCATTTGAGCTTCAAAGTAAGGTGCGTCCCATTTCCGGAAAAGCTACACTACGGAGGTACATCAAAGCAGTTACAACTCAATGTACCAACAAATTCCATGATTAATACCTGACCCTAGACAATACGGTCTCGCTACTACCAATGTCTAGAAAACATTCCTCCTCGTGTTTTGCACGGGTCCCTCGTATTACCAACCAGCTAGCTAGACAATAAATGAACTAAGAAACTAAGACAACGTCAAACAGCAACATACACGCATCGTCTTCACAAAAGAGAACACTGAAGGAAAATGAATATAAACAAAAATCACAGCGGCAAAGATAAGAATAATTTCTTTCGAAAAGAAAACACAACTCGTTCCCCATTTACCAAATACGGCGCGTTTTGTCCTCCAATTCTTCAAAATCTGCAGGGCTTCAACTGTGACCGAAGTCTCTTCCTCCAATAGGACACTACCAGTGATGCTCCCCCGCTTTCCTTGAACTCCAAGAGCTCTTACTGCATAGCCCTGCTGAAGAATCTTAAAGAAGCAATTCCGATGATCATGCAAATGTAAAGCTCGCACTGCGAAGCTGGCGACTCCAACGAAAATTTGCATCACATGCACAGAACACTCCTCCACAATTACCCGCCAATGCACATCTAACGTGGTGGAAAAAAACTCCTTCTCGCGGCGACAGTGTCTGGCTAGAGGGAGGAATCAAATGTCACGCGCTTCCGCCTCGTCGATGTTTGGATTATTAGAACGAATCTCTTGGCTTCCACGAGGAGAGTGATGCTCATAAGAAGTGAGCCCCCGCGACCACAGCAAAAGTTCTCTCTTAAGCCCTAAACCCTTGTTTGTGAACGATGACGACGACAACGGCGACGGAGGCGACGGAGACGATGGAGACGACGGAGACGGAAACCAACGATGGCCTGGCCGGACGGCGACCGTAGACGCGGCCGCGCGTCGACGGCAATGCGCGTTTCGTGGGATTTGAGACAGAGCACTTACTTTTACTTTTTGAAAAAAAGTAGAAAAAAGCTTACTTAGAGGCGAGAGATTGGTTTTTGATTAGTTGTTAGTGACAATGTTTTGTTTTGATTGGTTACTTCTAATGGTTTCTTTAGGAAGTGCAGAATGGATTTGGTGAAAACAAATTGAGACAATTAAATTTAATTGTGAGAATTCAACAAATTGTATTTTGCTTAATTTGTGCGTATGTTTGTAATATACAATCCATTCAATATTTGATGGAAGAAATGACAACTTCATATCTTAAATGGTATTTTTGAAGAAATTTTAAAATTATTAAATATACTACGTAAAATGACCACAAGATTGTTTAGAGATTTTGTTTTGATTATTTTTACAAGAAAACAAATAAGCAAACAATTTAAAGATTGTAGATTATTTACATAGAAATCAAATAATTACATAGTTCTAATTCCTTATGATGAATAAAAGGATCATCTCTGCTTCCATTGCAAGATAAAATCATGACCTCTAACTTACTAAATAAGTGCTTTAAACAACTAAATTAAAAAAGCTGTAAAAAAGTGGGATATAGATCTTCATAACTCTTTCATGCTAAGTAATCACTCTACTCATCTGAGTTGAAATGTATTGAACTGGCTTGTATTAAAAGGATGTAAAAATTTTTATAGTGAGTTAATTTGTGCTTGTATATAGAGCATGCCAGTAGAAAATTTATAAGAATTTTATGTTTTATATCCAAAGATGCTAAGTGTGCTTGGGCTTTTGAGTACTACTTGTGAGGTTTTCACTACCTAATTGGATTTAGGTGTTTGAAGTTCCTTGCGGGCTATGCTAGCTCGTTTGATCATATCAATGATCATTTGATTTGTTTTGTATTAGTATGACTCAGGTTTAGTTACTTATCTTATAATAAGTGATCTTTTTTTGATAATTCAATATTGTGCATAATCTACATAAAGATATCTTCTACCATCACCCTTGAAAGATGTTCTCTAATATTTATGACATTATCTTTAGACTACTACAAGGAGGTGGATTGTAAGAGTTAAAGTTATATTATCATTTGTTGTATGGGGGGAAGGCTTCTCCAGCTTATTGTACTTTGTTTGAGTAAATCACTATTATTGAGTCTATCCTATATTGGTGCAAAGGAGGTAAGGCTACTTGAATTTTTTGTAATCAATTGGTAAGGTTTTTAGGAAGAAGTTGAGATGGAAGAATGTCTTCCACTTAGAAGAGAGAGAGGGAGGGAGGAGGGGGTGTATTGTCAATCATAGAAGATTTTCAACTGCACCCATTTCTCCATGGATTTGGATTCTATTATATTGTGGCACTTGATGAACAATAGTATTTGTATTTTTTGAGCTGTAGCTAGATATCCATTGCTACTAGGATTGTTATTTGTCAAATGTAGTAGAGTGTTTTTTCAAGGTAGAAATAGCCCTCTTTTAGATTGTATGCGCATTTTTAGTACCATATGTACTAAATTATCACCCACCATAGGACATTCTACATTATATTTTTGGTGATAGAGCTTGAATTGCTTGCATTCCAAAATGTGGCCTCATCTTGTGCATTAGTGCTATTAGCAAGCATTGGAAATGTACCATGTAATGCTATGTCCTAAGTGAGGTTGAAGGTAGAGGAACCTACAAGTCTTTAGATGGTTGTATATTTGTCCCATGCTATTATAACCTGAAAGTAAGAGAGAAATATATGCTGTCCTATTTCTAAAATTTAGCCTTTGCATAGATTGCATTATCTTTTTTTTAAAATCTTGAATCTCTATTCCTTAATAGAAAAGCCTTTTGCAATCACCAACCACATTATGACTAAGTTTTTTTGGAGTAGCTATGGACGCCGCAGTCTAGAAAGTATTGGGTGTGTTAGACTAGAAAATACTTTTGGCATTCCATTCTCTTATCAAAGGCCATTTGCTTATATTGATGCTATAAAATGATTCAATATTCTCTCTTTGTAGTATAATTAAAGTATGTGTCAATTGACATTGATTCCCTATTTGTGCGATATCCATTCTTTTGGATCAATTGTGAAGGACCTTGATAGGCCCTCCTCTTGCATCTATATTATATAGGTAGTATTAGAAGAATTTATTGGATTGAATTCCATCATCTTGTCTATTTGGCTTTTGATAATTACTCTTGCTTTGTATGATGCCTATATAGACATCATTATTTAGATATTGACATGTTTTAGTCGATTTGTTCTTTTGCTATTTGTGTATTATATATCCTTGATTGCTTCACATCTAAAATAAAAAATTAAGGTGCAATCTAATCTCTCATTGTCAAAGACATGAACTAAAAGAAGATGCATAAACTTGAAAAATTTGTATCAAAAGAAAATTGAAAAAATAGAAATAAAGTAGTATGTATATTAGAAAGAAATTGGAATGGCTATTGCCAAATGATAAGAAAACTAGAGACTTTTAAATCTAGATTAGAAGCAAGAAAGGAATTGACAAGACTGAAGAAGGCTTCACTCTTGCCTCTATATATACTATCTAACTAGGAGTTACATGACAATGTTCTATAGGACCTCAAATATATGTTGACTTTGTAGGACACATGCCTCAGCTTATAAGGCGAGTTTTCTACTTGTGGGTCATATAGTTAGCTGGTTCTTCAAGCTACCAACATGTGTGGCACATGGCCAACTTATTGACCATGTTTCTAACCTAAAAAGTCAATTAAAGACTTCTATAAAGTCAAAGTAGCCTCTATAAAGCTTCTAAAAAGCTTCTATAAAAGATATTATAGAATTGACCTACTTTTACCTACTATTATCTAAATCATATAAATAATTATTGTTTACATGTATATGTCCATGACACTTATAGCCAATACATGAGATTATATGAGGTTTTACATAATGGTGGTATTGTATTATGTGGGGCCTGCTTAAGTATGTATTGAATATGTAGTTGTAAAAGGAAAAATGGAACTTGTAACAAAATGATCCTAACAACTTTAATAGAATCCTAAAATAACTTCAATTAAATTATAATAATTTTAATTAATTTTTAATTAAACCCAAAAGAAGTTTCCAAAATTTATAAAAGAAATATAAAGAAATAAAAAATTAATCTTAATAAAATATATATAATAAAGAAATCTTAAAAAAATATTTAAAACATAAATTTTAATTTAATTCTAATCAAATTCTAATATAACTTTCAAAAAATCTTAATCAAACTCTATATCATTTCTAACTAAATCATAATAAATTCCTAAATCTTAAACAAATCCTAAATAAATCCTAATTAAATTCTAATCAAATCCTAATCAAATCCAAAAAATATCTTAAATCCTAATTTTAGGCCAAATTCTAATCAAATCCTAAGAATATCCTAAATCATAACCTTATGCCAAATCCTAATCAATTTTAGATATTAAATAATCTAAAGAAAATTCCAAATAAATTTTAATTAATTACTATAGTTATTTGAAATTTCAATAAATATTAATTGAATTATAGATTTTAACTAAAATTTTATCCAAATTTCAATCAACAAACAATTAACAAGCACACAAAATTTGAGAAGAGTCAAAGTTACCAATTGCAAGAAAAGCTTTCAAAACCTCTCGATTGTTAGATGCCATCCTTCTTAGACTTGAATGTTGATCTTTCAATATTGTTGTCTCTTTGCTGAATTATTTACTTACTTCAAAAATTGAATTTTTTGTAGATATTCAAGTCTTAATTATTTTCACTAAATTTTGCATCAATCCAACTATCAAATATTATTAGATCTTGAAATCACTCATTGACCTTAAATCTAAAATTTCCAAGACCATAATCTCTAAAAATCCTTATGTATTTTAATCTAACCACTTGATTGATCTCAAATTTTTCACACATATTTATAATAAGTACAAAAATAAATTATCTAATTTTTACGCATACACATGCTACAAAATTCATAAAATATTGACCTTTAAAAACTTGTTTTTATTTCTCAAAATCTAAATCCACTAAGTCCATCAATAATTTTAAAAATCTCTCAAATTTTCAATATTAATCCAAATAATATAAAATCAACATTTAAAAATATTTCTTTAAATTTTCTTTCGAATTCTATTATTTGATTTATAAAAAAATCTTAGGGTTGATTTAAATACTTGGTTTTGTATCTTAAAATATAAGTTTGACCATGGTTGGCAATCAGTTCTCTTTGGCCATCAATTCTTTTCTTCTTAAAGAAATTATTTCTAAAATCAACTCCTAATTCTTTCCTATATATGCTTGTATTCTTCGTTTTTTTAATCTATCTTATTTTATCTTATTTATGACTCAATAAAGTTAATAAAATTTATTTTATAAAAAATAATTCTAATATTAATAGATCTTATTACTTTCTTATTATTTATCTATATATTTTTATTATATATTTTGAATTAGGCTCTTTTATAATTAAAAAAAATCCTTAATATACTCTTCTGTCACTCAAGAGAATTAAAAAGTCACTCAAAAATGATATGATATAAAACTAGAATGGCTATTGCCAAAAACAAAAAGACTAAAAATTCTTATAACAAGACTAAAGACTAGAAAGGCATTGATAAGAGTGAAGAAGGCTTCATTCTTACCTCCATATATACTCTTAATTAGGAGCTATGTAGCGATGTCTTATAAGAACTTTAAAATGTATTGACTTTATAAGATACATAGCTTAACTTGCAAGGCAAGTTTTCTATATATATACTATATGATTAGCTTTTTTTGTAAGCTATTAATATATAGTTAACTTATCGATCAAGTTTTTAACCTACCAATCAACTACAAATATATGTAAAGTCAAAACAATATT